CCCGCCCCCTGTCACACACAGAGCTGCAGGGCGATCAGGGGGTTTGGGCGCTGCCCCCTGTCACGCTGATCTCGGTGCCGGGAGCCTCGCTGCTCCGCTGATCCCGGTGCTGGGAGGCATATTACCCTTTTACTATATAGGATAGAGGCCTGGTGCATGGGTAGGGGCTGGCTGGTTTGCCCTGAAGGGTGTCCTGGATCAGGGTGGGGGTCCCCACTGGGGTGCCTGGCCAGTCTGGGTGAGGGGCTGAGGGCTGTTTTCCGGCTGGCGAGTGACTGAAGCTCCCAACTGCTCCTTGTTTTCTTCTTTTTTTTTTTTTTTTTTTTGGGCCAGCTTTAGCTCTGAGGCCTCGCTGCTGAAAACATGGATACAATGTTTCGGTCCGGCTGGGTTTCAGTCCGGCTGTTTTCTGGGGTTTTGTTTACCTTCTTATTTGCAACATAGTATATAGTTGCTTAGAGTTGCAGCTGAGAGGCTGGCAAGTGAGGCTGCGAACGTTGGAATCTGCAGCAAGCAAGCCTCCCTGCTCGCTTCAGTGCCTGGCTGCCGGCCGCCATCTTGGCTGACAGTTAATTTGCAAATACTCACTGATTAGCCAATGAAAAGGGTAGCAGTCGTACGCCAATTACCATGTTTCTCTTTTATTAGTGTAGATAATATGTAGCATGAAGGGTTCTCATCAACTGACATATAAAATATGGGCTTTAATTTATTTAACTATTTTCTCCCCTACAACAATATTAGTTGCTATGAGATATTGAAAAATCTATCTATCATCTATCTATCTATCTATCTATCTATCTATCTATCTATCTATATAAAAGCCTAAGCAACCGAAAGACTGGAATGACCAGAACGACTGGTTGACCAGTTGCTGTGATGCACACTGACCACCAGGGGCAGACGCTCAATGCAGGAGCTGCCCCCTGGCGGTCAGTTTGCTCCCACAAGGGGAGCATCACTCAGCCAGAAGCCGGGCTCACGGCTGGTGAGTGCAACTGCAGTGGCGGGAGCCTCTCCTGACTCTGCGGCAGTGCTACCAAGCGGTGGCAGCAGGCGCAGTGGGCCAGGATGAGCATGGGTGGCACAGCGCCTGGCTCCAGCTCAGGCTCCTTCCTGGCCGCCTGCTGGTGGCACACTGCTACATCCCCTGAGGGGTACCAAATTGTGGGAGGGTGCAGGCCAGGCTAAGGGACTACCCCCCCGCCCTGTACACAAATCCATGCACTGGGCCTCTATATATATATGACACAATTTAAGCTCTTTTGTATCTTCCAATATGATACCAGAGATTGGAGTTTAAAGATAATTATTAAATTGTCAAAATTTGATATGTTAAAAAAAATGAAGCAAACCCCAAATCCATGGTATAATTTTATTTCATCCATCAGTCCCTGTCAAGATGTTTTTGTAGTTACCTTAGGAAAGGATCTTTTGAACACCCAACCTCTGCACATGTTGTCTCTTTTGGTTCTTTCATTTGACTGATGTTTTCCCCTACACTATTCTTGCTAGAGTTCCATAACCAGCTTGCTAAAATCCTTTATGTTTCTTAGAGAGAACTATTTTTTTTCTCTGGAAAGTTAAATGTGTAGGGCTTTTCCAAAACGAGGTCTCATTTTCTGGTCTAGAAAGTCTGAATTGGCTGGAGATTTTTTTTTCAGTAAAGTTATATTTTGAATTCCATACAAAACCCCCCATAATTTATAAAAAGATGGACCTCATATTTTTCTACCTCCTACAAATTTTGTTCCAAGTGTTCCTGGGTTGAAATATATTCCTTTGAGATGAGTAACAAATTCATTGTTCTCTGAAAAAAAAAAATCTTGACTATATTCACTAAGAAAATGAAATATTCTAAATTACTACGAAATGACTGTCATCTTTGTCTTTCTCTTTTCTAGAAAACTTCTGGACTGCAATGGTGTTAATAGGAAGGCCCAAGACTTTAACATCTATACTGTATGGTATCATATTTAAATTGTTCTTTAGAGGAACTATTGACAAAGTGCCACAGGCATCTATTTAGGCTGGAGTAGAAGATCACTTCCACGATTCAACTGAGGATGATAGATAATTTAAGCAGACTTGATAAATGTAAACATATTGCATGTGAGCTTTTATGGATGTGCAGGATAGAAAAAAAGCTGACTTGGAAGAGAAGATATGTAAAGAATAGGACACAATAAAATATGTAGATACTGGCCTTCCCATTGGAAAGCATGTAGACATTTTCTTGCTGGATCATTTTTGTCTTGCTGATTATTTTGTGAATGTTCAATCTGAAAGATTGAAACAGTTCGCCTAACAGTTGTCAGTCTATTTGGGTCATCCAATAGCTATTTTGTCAAGACTAGAGTGAAATTAGCTATGTATTTCTAAATGAAAGTTCTGCACGTTAATTCTAACTTGACAGGAATAGTAAGATTGGCATTAGAGACTTTCTGAAATGAGAACAACATTCATAATTAACCTAGGGAATATAAAAAATGGGAAATCATCTAGTAATTTCATGAGAGTGTGTTGCATTGTAAGTTCATGTTCACTAGTGATGAAATTCTTATGGAATACTGAGAAACCCTGAAGTGTAATGAGTTAGGTAAACACAAGTTGCTGCACCAGGTTTACAACTTCCAGTCATTTAATGACTTACAATTTTCCTTTAATTCTTGAACTAAACTTTGAAGATAGAATTTTGTTTATTTACTTGTCTTTTCTACTGTTGGCATATTATTTATAAGCATCAAAATATATATAATATATATAACTTATCATATATTCCTAGATCCAATCACCATGGTCATCAGTTTCAGCTGGGAAGAGATGAATTAATATTTATTGGATACCTCCCACATGCCAAGAGGTTTACAGGTGTTCTCTCATTCAGTCTTCCAGTGGGCCAGTGAGATTATTATTGTTACTACGTATATTTTACAAGTTGAAAAGACTGGAATACAAAGAAATTAAGTAGAGTGCAGATGTATAACTTTGTGTTTGTTTGTTTTCTTAGGACCTTTGTTTTTGAGGGCTGCACCCCACCCCTTCTTGTACCACATGACATTGTTAAATACTTGGCTCTTCTTCCTTCACCTCAACAAGAAGCAATCTTAAGATCAAATGGGAGTTCCATTTTTAATTTTTTGAGGAAACTCCATACTGTTTTCCACAGAGGCTGCACCAGTCTGCATTCCCATTAGCAGTGTACAAGGGTTCTCTTTTTTCCACATCCTCACCAGCACTTGTCCTTTGTTGATTTGTTGAGGATAGCCATTCTGACATGTGTGAGGTGGCACTTCATTGTCATTTTGATTTGCATCTCAGAATTCAGAGACACCAATCAGAAAGGATATATGCACCCCTATGTTCATAGCAGCACAATTTACAATAGCTAAAATTTGGAAATAGCCTAAGTGCCCATCAACCGATGAGTGGATTAAAAACTGTGGTACATCTACACAATATTGAATTATACATTGCTATAAAAAAGAAGGAACTCTTACCATTTGCAACAGCATGGATGGAAATGGAGAGCATTGTGCTAAGTGAAATAATAAGCCAGTCAGAGAAGAATAAGTATCACATGATCTCACTCATTTGCGGAATATAATGAACAACATAAACTGATGAACAAAAATAGATCCAGAGACAGAGAAGCATCGGACTGACTGTCAAATCTCAGAGGGAAGGCAAGGGAGGGTGGGCGAAGGGGTACAGATCAACCAATGAATTTGCATGCATGTAAGCCTAACCAATAGACACAGACAATAGTGGGGTGAAGGCTTGGGCTGGGGGGGCAGGGGAAAAAGGGGACATATGTAATAATTTCAACAGTAAAGATTTTTAAAAAGTTCTGTGTAACCTAAAAACAATGATTAATCTAAATGTGGGCTCATGATCGTAGCAAGGCCAATAAATGTTCTTTGTTGAGGATTGACATAAACTCCACGGAAGAAGGGAGTCTTCTCTTTCTGTTATCCTGAATCTTACAAACTACATAATTCTGGCTCTCCTTGGGCTTCAGCCTTTGCTCACATATAAAAAGATCTTACAGAAAAATAAACCTAATGGAGAGTATGGCAGAACATGATTCTGGGGCAATAATTTGAAATTTTAAAAAAAACTTGGCCATAAAACCTAGTAGAGGGGAGTCAGGTACACATGTAAGTGCAAGAAATACTATATATATATAATTTAGAAAAAGTATGTGTATTCTCATCACTAAAATTTGCTTTGCTTCTCAAGTTTTACAAGGTCTAGTCCCTTAAACAATTTAAGACATAATTGCAATGCCTACTGACACCACAAAAAATGATTTCCATTAGTAAAAGGAAAGTGAATCCACAAAAGATGTTGAGCAGAGGGGCAATCGAATTTAGTATACAATTTAAAAATTAAGAAGGGAATCCTGTTGTACAGTTATGAGTAGTTTCAAGGGCTCCGGAGCACATTATTAATCCTTACTGTGTTTACTGCGTTTGCCTCATCTGAATTTTGAATGTATTTTCTCTGAATTTTCCAAAAGCAAAGTGGAAATACCATTACCGAAATGACCCTCTGGGTAAAATCTGTATTGCCCTTGAAATACTGTAGCCTTGTGTCCTGGGGCTTGGCTGTTTCCTGTGATTCTCAATCATGTTTGTCTTTGAGGGGCATTATTTTATTGTTTGACATATATGCTGTGAGCAGCAGTCCTGAAAGTAGTGACTGTCCTAATGGTTTAAAAGTGCTCATCTCATCTACAGAGGGTTGTTTTTACTTTCTGCAAATAGTTCACTCAGCCGATACCTGATGACCCTGAATGTCCCTTTTCTGAAGGAGGATAATAACAAGACTGTTTTTTCCCTATTGTGAAGGGGAGACAGTGTTCCTGGAGGGTTCTGGGAAATAGCTAAATAGCTGATGACAGCTCATCCTGATATTAGCCATTTATTGAGTATCGTCTAAGTACCAGGAACTAGGTTAAGAATATATTATTGTTAATCTTCACAACCACCTTTCAAGCTTTAAGCTACAAGGAACTGAAGCTCTGAGAAGTTCTATGTGGCAGAAATGTCTAGGAAAACAAAATGAAATGATACATGGGAAAATATTTAGTGCAGGTTTTGCAGCTGGTACACAGTCACTTTCAGCTCTTCCCTTTCTCTTCCTTTCTTCCCTTCTGCACTGGTGTGAATGTTTGTGTCTCCCCCAAATCCTCATGTTGAAACTTCATGTCCAAGTCAGTGGTATCAGGAGATGAGGCCGTTGTGAGGTGGTTTGGTCATGAGGTGGAGCCCACATAAATGGAATCAGTGCTGCTATAAAAGAGGCCCAAGACAGCTCCCTTTCTCCTTCCAAAGCGTGAGGTTACAGTCAGAAGACAGTCATCAATGAGGAAGTGGAACCTCCAGACACCGAGTCTGCCAACACCACCATCTTGAACTTCCTAGCCTCCAGCACGCTGAGAAATAAATGTCTGTTATTTGTAAGCCACCTAGTCTGTGGTATTTTGCTGTGGCAGCCTGATCAGACTAAGACACCCTTTTCCTGTTTTCCTTTCTCCATCTTTCCCTCTTTCTCTTGCTGGCTTGATGAATGCTTAAAGTGTTTTTCTATTTAGGCTTTTCTTTGTTCATTGCAGTGACCGGATTTGCCAACTTGCAAAATTGTCAAGCCTTTTCCACTCCTACATTAAAACCTATACCAAATATTTGGTGAATTTCGCAGCTCCAGGTACAGGGAAGGGTACTGACCTTGTTTACTAAGTACAGGAAATTCCCAGGTATTGTAGCTGCAGTGCATCTTGCATTCACGTCAGCGTGAGCTAAAGCCTAAAAATAGATTCTGCTCTGTGCGTGAGTTTCTTCCCTTGTGCTTTTAACCTCTGTTTCTCAGAAACAGTCAATGCAGCTCAGAGGCAGAGGAAAAACAGGGAGAGTAACTTCATAATTCACAGCGGGAGGAAATTACATTAAAATCCTAATGAATTCTGACACATAGATCATCATAAAGTGCTACACAAGTCATAGTAACATTTTTAGGAGTAACCTTGCCGAAAAGTTATATATTTTAAGCTTCATTTATGTGACCATGGTTTATATATTGATAGCTTGTGATTCAGGATCTGTATTTGTAATATCTTTTAGACACACACACACACACACACACACAT